CGAAGGTTGACACATTAATGTTGACTTACTAGAAGAAAATTTTTAAAATTTTATCATAGAACTACATTATATTTATATATTGTCTATCTGCAAAACAAACGGTGAATGGGGAGTTGGCAGGGGCTCCTCGGGGACTGCACAGGTTGGGAAGTGTGAGGGTGACTCCCGGGGAGTACACATTTCTAGGGGCTCTTGACAGACTTTCTCTTATGGGAGTCATAAGAAAAACATTCTGCTCTCTGAGGAGTTCTGTAGGAGTCCATGCATGACTTTCTTCAACAGGACTCTCGACAGGACTGCTGCAAGAATTTTTTTGGGACTCTTCATGACTCCATGTTGGACGTTTCACTTTAGAAAGTTCCTGCGAGAGTCATCAGGACTCCTTACGATTCCTACTGGAGTTTTTCATAAACTTGGGACTCCCGTTGGAGTTTTGCCGGGAGTCTCGACTAGGGAACGCTAAGACTTAAGCATTTACTAATATTTCATACCAGTTACATCTCGTTTTTAATCTGAGAAATGGGACAACCTTCGTTTCCACAAGTTTACTGGCGCAACCGCACTTAGTGCCAAAAATACGAAGAATGAAGACAAAACCCCGTACTGTTTGTTGATAATAAGGGTGTGAAACCACCATTAAATTCGAATGTGGTACATGTCCGAATGAAACCCCTTAGCGCATCAACCGAAAACTTCTCATCACTGAGCCAACCTAAACTGAAATATATTGGCGATAGGGTGGTGAGCTCCACCCGCCTAAAATTTTGATCAGATAGACAGGAACTCCAGCTCGAGCAGCAGATGAAACTGTGTCCTGTAAATACAGTAGAATTATATCCAAAGCGTGCAAGAATTTCCGTAAGTTTGTTGATCAACTCATAACGATTCAGTGCTTTGCTATCATAAGCAGTGGATCGGATGCTTTGGGATTTCGATGCATTTGACGTCGGAAATCAATGAATTTCTTCAAACATTTGAGGAGGCATGTAGCGTGATCTGTTTCATATAATCTAATATCAACACCGCGGTTCTATTGATTATCGTTATATTCTCCTTTATTTTTCATTGTAGGAGAGTTGTATATATATATTACTACTCTAGATTGGGTCAATATTCAGTCCGCTACCATTAAATAGTATTCGTATTAGTATAAATAAAGAATATAAATAATTTCTTAATTGTTTTATTGTACAAAGTTTCAAACGTTTTTACAGCAGTTCAAGAACAACAGAAAACACAACAGAGAAAAGCATTTCATAAGACACTAATACGATATTCACTCTTCAAATCACAACCTTAAGCTAACACTCAGTGTCCAAGCACTTAGTAATCGAGCAACCATAACACAGTAAAATGTAGAAGGAACCAACTAGCAGCTTTTCATATCATACTTGGTCTTTCGACAGCATTTCACATAACAAAAGAACTAGGCAGCTCTCAAGATAAGTCAAGTCTTCTTGCTTGATCAACAAAAGCTTCAACTAATCTCTGACTCAATTTTCTATGATTTAAACTCAAAACGTCCACCACCGCTGATTCTTTGCTACCAAATACTACAATATTCTTTCCAGTAACGGTCACTGCACTTCCCTGCACAAGTGCAGCAACGGTTATAACAGGAAGCCAGTCAACATTTTCAGTATGGAAAAACCCGCTGATGAGTTGCTCTACAGAAAGAGTTTTTAGATAATGAAAATGCTGCTCGTTCACGAAAATCTTCGAAACACCATCTGAACCCACCCATCGCATCGCCGACTCAAAAATCGAAGCTTCCTTAACCACTTCAGCAATATTCTCTTTAAGACCGGACCTATCAACAGTAAGTAGGTATTGTAATCCGATCGTCATATCGTTAATCGATGCTTTTTCATCAACTTTCACGAGAACGCCACGTGCAGAAGATCTGCCATCCGCTTGCTCATCATCAACTGCAGTGAATAGTGCTCTAATCACTTCAGAAGTTGCTGTTCAGTCACCAATGTTCGTGAGAGCTTCACATGCGCGCCGTCTGACAACCGCATGCTCATCACCAAATGCAGTGATCAGTGCTCTAATCACTTCAGAAGTTGCTGCTTTGTCACCCATGTTCCCGAGAGCTTCACATGCAGAAGATCTGACATCCTCACTCTGATCACCAAGTGCAGTGAGTAGTGCTCTAACCACTTCAGAAGTTGCTGTTTTATCACCCATCTTCACAAGAGCTCCACATGCGCGCCATTGACATACTCATTCTCTTACCGAGTGCAGTGACCAGTGCTCTAATCACTTCAGAAGTTGCTGCTTTGTCATCAATGTTCTCGAGAGCTTCACATGCAGAAGATCTGACATCCTTACTCTGATCACCAAGTGCAGTGAGCAGTGCTCTAATCACTTCAGAAGTTGCTGCGTCTGCGCCCATGTACAGGAGAGCTTCACATGCGCAGTATCTGATATTCTTACTCTCATCACCAAGTGCAGTGAGTAGTGCTCTAATAACTTCAGAAGTTGCTGCTTTGTCACCCATGTTCCCGAGAGCTTCACATGCAGAAGATCTGACATCCTCACTCTGATCACCAAGTGCAGTGAGTAGTGCTCTAACCACTTCAGAAGTTGCTGTTTTATCACCCATCTTCACAAGAGCTCCACATGCGCGCCATTGACATACTCATTCTCTTACCGAGTGCAGTGACCAGTGCTCTAATCACTTCAGAAGTTGCTGCTTTGTCATCAATGTTCTCGAGAGCTTCACATGCAGAAGATCTGACATCCTTACTCTGATCACCAAGTGCAGTGAGCAGTGCTCTAATCACTTCAGAAGTTGCTGCGTCTGCGCCCATGTACAGGAGAGCTTCACATGCGCAGTATCTGATATTCTTACTCTCATCACCAAGTGCAGTGAGTAGTGCTCTAATAACTTCAGAAGTTGCTGCTTTGTCACCCATGTTCCCGAGAGCTTCACATGCGCGCCATCTGACAGTTGCATACTTATCACCAAGTGTTCTAATCACTTCAAAAGTTGCTGTTTTGCGAACAATGTCCAAGAGAGCTCCACATACGCGCCATCTGACATCCTCATGTGCATTACCAAGTGCAGTGATCAGTGCTCTAATCACTTCAGAGGTTGCTGTTTTGCGACTAATCCTCCCGAGAGCTTCACATGCAGAATATCTGACATCCTCACTCTGATCACCAAGTGCAGTGACCAGTGCTCTAATCACTTCACAATTTGCTACTTTGTCACCCATGTTCCCGAGAGCTTCACATGCAGAAGATCTGACAACCGCATGCTCATCACCAAATGCAGTGATCAGTGCTCTAATCACTTCAGAATTTGCTGCTTTGTCACCAATGTTCCCGAGAGCTTCACATGCAGAAGATCTGACATTCTCACTCTGCTCACCAAGTGCAGTGAGTAGTGCTCTAACCACTTCAGAAGTTGCTGCTTTGGTACCAATGTTCCCGAGAGCTGTACATGTGCCCCATCTGACATACTCACTCTCGTCACGAAGCGCTGTGATCAGTGAATAAATCACTTCAGAAGTTGCTGCTTTGTCATCAATGTTGCCGAGAGCTTTACATGCGCGCCATCTGACATACTCACTCTCGTCACGAAGCGCGGTGATCAGTGAATAAATGAGGTTAAGATGAGGTTTTGTAAGTGGTAATGTTGAAATCAAGGAACATGCATTCGCTTTTACGTTTTGTTTTTTGTTTTGAAGCAGCTGGATCAGTAGGTCTATTATTGCTGGTTCATGTGCTAATGAAGGGCTCCTGCTCAATGAGTCTGTTAGCTGTGTAGTTGTTGCATTCGATTCGGCAAACACGGAATATTTTAACCACTTTATTATGGAACTGATCAACTCGGTTCGATCAGGAAGATTTGAGTTACCACTAGTCTCCTCAACACAAGCAATAACCAGTTGTATGTGTTTTAGGCCAACTAGATCCAACGGCTCTCCTAGTATTGTGGACCAGAATGTTGTTATGCATGACTCAGAATTACTCTCAGTCAGAAGACCAGATACAAAAGTAAACATTAGTCGAAAACGTTGATTGTACTTGTTGTATTTGAGAAATTCGATTGCTTCTTGGCGTGGAGGATCCGAGAGAGCGGCAACCAAATATCGTGCAGCGAAATGTTCCTGGAAACTCAGATGAACAAAATAATGATCTTTGTCCGTTTCGATTTTAGTGCCAACAGCCTGATGGCTGAATGATTTTAGTATGCCTATATTGAGTAAATGTGGGTGTTCCCGTAACGAGCACTCAGCATCCTTTAATACTTTTTTCAGCAATGTCGGCCGTAGAATTATAGTGTTAGTTTTCATTCCGTTAAAAGCCATGCTTTCTAAGAATGCCAGTTCTCTGTGGCAACTTTTATAAACATCCTCTTTAGTCATTAGAGCTGTTTGAATGTTTCGTTGTTTTTCCAAATATCGTCGACATAGCCATTCTGTAATCTTGTCGTATAGCTGCGTCATTGTGAGTTCTCTAGTTTTGGACCAATCTATGTCAGCCCAAAGACTACAAATCAGTTCGAGGTTCACTGGAATATGTGCAATACCCCAAATGTTAGTGCTCAATTTTAAGAAGTCCAATAGGTTTTGGCTAATGGACGATGCATCATCTGTAATTTGATCGAAGAACTGCTTCACATACTCACCTATATTATCATCCGTAAAACCTGTAATTTCCATTACCACAGCATATGATAACTTATTTAAATATGGACGAGAGGTCAAGATGTGGTGTGGAGTGTTAAGTAACTGCTCGATTAAATATTCCAGATGGGCTGGTACATTTTGTACAATTTCATCATAGCCATCCAAAAGCCATAGAACTTGACTTTTGTCAAACTGTTCTGTCAAATATCTTTTATCTTTGTCAAAAAGAGCGTAATGGAAACATTCCTTTTCGACGAGATCAATTAGAGAATAGCTAATGCCGGATGACAATGGAGGATAACGACTTTCAGTTAAACGTCGTAGTGGAATCAAGAAAATCAGCTTATATTGTGGCCAAATTGTGCCATTTGCCCATCAGTAAGCAATATATCGACAAAATGTTTTTTTGCCGATTCCAGCCTGTCCAAGCACGAGTACCTTCTTCGTTTGATTCTTGCAAGTTTCAAAAATGTCCTTGACATCTACTAGAGCCTTCGCTCCGTTTATTTCTTCAAAGGTACCGATTATAGCATCACTTTGCTGAGCATCATGAAGCTTCTTTACTTTCTTTTGTTGTTCTTTGATTTCTACTATAGCTAAATTAATGTAGCTTTGTTCAATTGGGAAAGATTTTGATGGATTCATTAACCGTTCAATCCGAGAATATTGTTTATGCTGATGCCGAATCAGTTCACACAAGTAAGTAGGTTCACAAACTGACTCATATTCTACTAACTCTATTTCAACTAAAACAGATGGATTAGTTGTTGGATCATGCCGTTTCACATTAGTAACGTTAAATGTTGCAAATGGTGTAATTAACACTTCTTGTTCATCTGGAATACTCGACATCAATTCAATATCGAGAGCGGTACGGGTATTTTTGATTTTGTATTTACACACTACTGATATTTGAATGTGCGTTCTATCAGGTGTTTTCCGCAAACTATTTTGTTGTCCTTCCCCAGCAAAGAACTCTGCAACTGTTAGCTTTTTCGATGTAGATAGAAACGTTCGATTCATTATTTGACTACCAGTTTGATACTTCTCAAGATCGTTTTCAGTCATTAACATTCCACGATATGTTATTCCGATGAAATGATGATTGATAAAATCTGGGTGATGTATGAGTAGAGCTACTATGTTTTTTAGACAGTTGATGAGCCGATAATTAGGTCTAAAATTAATCTTCTGATCGAAATAATCCATCAGGTACTTTGCCAAATGTTTATTAAGAATTTTATGAAAGTGTGCTGTTGGTGATGTATACGCTATAATAAGATAATGAATAATATCTCGTTGGTGAAGTGCTTCTGTAAAGTTATATTCAATCTCTTTTATCTGTGCATCAGACAAGCCTTCGTTTTGTACCAGATATTCTTTAATATAATAACTGATGATTTCAACTAATAGTTCTCGTGTTGCTAAATAGTCATATCTTTTCAACGAATCGGTACCGTTTCTGAAGTGATCACATTCTTTTACTAAGTCAGTATCTGCAATTACCCATTCAATATAATCAGCATCATCTAGATTTCCGATAAATGAATGTCTAGTATTTATTCGTCGAAAAAGATCTTTTGTCTCTTCAGTTCGAGCTTCTTCAAATGGTGTTAAACCATATTTATTTG